CATTTCTGGCTTGGCTTGGAAACATAAGAAACTGCGTTAACGCTGGAGGGGTGTTGCAGCCGGGCCTTGTGCTGGAGCTGAGTGGCCGCTGCCTCCTGTAGATGGGCTGTTCCTTCTCCATCTCCTTGCCCCGCCCACTCGCTCCCACGTGGATGGCACTAGCCTAGCCCTTGCTTGGCCTTACATTTGCTCCCTTACCCTGGGTGCTCATGAACCACAGTGGGGTCATGAACTGGTAGAGGGACAGGGAAGGGTCATGACACGTTGCTGAGCTTGCAGTGGACAGGCCTGGTCCAGGTGAAGAGCCTACCCCTTCTTCCTGAGGGGCCCCAAGCCATCCCAGTCCCTCTCTGGGCCTTGGTTTCCCATTACGAAAGGAAAGCAGAATCTCAAGGTTTCCTACCACCTGTCAATGGTGCCATCATTTTGAAGCTCTGAGCGAGGCTGTCCCCTGGAGAGGAGCAGCTGCAGGCCCTCCCTCTGCTGGCGCGTCTAACCACACGCTGTCCTGCGCTCTCTCCCTCCTCTCTTTCCTTCGCTCCTGCCACGACTGCCTTCACACTCTTCACTTCTAAGTCGCTCGGAACGTTATCTCCCTACTCCCAGGTAATTAAGCTGATTTGGGGAAACGTTTTATATAATCGTGCCCTTTTAGGCTGACCAAGAGACCCCCAGTTTCACCCCTCCCCAGCTGTGCAGGAGCCTGAGCCCTTGACCAAGGTGCTCCCCAGCCAGGGCAGAAACGGGGACCTTAGGACTGTGACCTGGAGGAATTGGCTGTGGCATAAAGGGCAGACATGGCTAGGGGAGACCCTGATGTACCCTTCTACCCAGAGACGGCTTCCCTGCTGCTTCTCTGATCCTGGGCCAGGAATCCAGGGACCTGCCCCGCAGGTTCCATTCAAGGGCCCGTGAGGGATGGGCGAAAGCCCTGGAAATTCTTGTGGGTTTCCTCAGGCTCTGCATGTAACCCCGGGAGGGGTGGGGGGGGTCTCTGTATTCAGAGGGGCAGCGCCATGCCCCAGCCCCTAGACTTCTGGATTTGGTGCCAGTCCCCCACGTGCCCACTGGGCCCTCAGTCCACAGGCCCACTAATCACTGGCCTCGCTCACAGCCCTGCTTCCTCCCACAGGACATCTACGAGAACCTGGACCTCCGGCAGAGACGGGCCTCCAGCCCCGGATACATCGACTCCCCGACCTACAGCCGTCAGGGCATGTCTCCCACACTTTCCCGCTCGCCCCACCACTACTACCGCTCTGGTAAGGAAAGGGGAGAGCCAGGGGACCGCACAGTGGCTCGATGTCCCAGCTGCAGAGACAGCACAGGGCTTCCCCAAGATCTGTGTCACAGCATGGCCCTCCTCTGGAGGCCTGTGGGCACCCAGATGATGAGCTGGGCCTCACTGAAGCTCTGCAGATGCCCCTGGCAGGGGCACAGCAGGGGTATGTGGTGCTGAGACGCAGCGGGAAGGTGGGTGGTGAGCTGCCAGAAGAGGAGAGGGGCAGGCAACCAGAAGGCCTGGCTGGGAGGAGACTGTGGCCTTCACCCAAGGGCCAGCCCGACCCAGTCCAGCCAGATCATCTTCAGCTGCCCCAAGGCTAGGAAAGGTGGGAGGCTGAGGGGCGCAGATGCCTTGCTGAAGCTTGGTGGGGTTGATTATTAGAACCTACCTAGTCCGACTCTGGGCTGAAGCAAGGAAAGAGGCTGGCGCCTGTTGCTGAGACCTGGTGCATGAGAGCACAGCCCCTCCCCACCATCCCTGCTGTCGGTCCCTCGCTGCTGCCTCAGCCGCCAATGCCAGCACGCTAATGCCTGTTTTCTCTGTGCCTCTGTTCTCTCTGGGGACCATGCCTGCGTGCTCCAGGGCCCGAGAGTGGCTGGAGCTCTCCATACCATAGCCAGTTAGATGTGAGGTCCTCCACTCCGACCTCTTACCAGGCTCCCAAGCACTTTCACATCCCAGGTAGGCTGCCAGCCCAGGATGCCAGCATGGGTGCATGCTCTGGGGGGTCGTGGGCATCCTGCACCAGCACCGAGGAGAAGCCAGTTCCTGGGGAACGCTCCCTAACCAGTCACATGCACTGACCCACCCTGCAGTCCTGACAGGCCCATGAACCTTAGTCCACCCCCAAGAGAACCAGCCTTGACAGGACCACCAGGGAGCAGCCTAGGGATGTGCCATGAATGTTGGAGGGACAGAATTGACGTGGCAGGAACCATGCCAAAAGTCATGGGCTTTTGGGTCGAAACTCGTAGGACCGAATCTCAGTTCCACTGCTTATGAGCGCGTGACCTCAGGCCAGTTACTCAGCTTCCCGCAGCTTCTACTGTTCTCCCTGTAAAGCCAGGTTCTGCTCTGGGTCCTGAGGTTGCAAATGTGCTCAAACCAGCCCAGATCCTGCCTTTCTGCTGTTTATCTGCAATGTGGGGAAAGAGTAAACAATGACTTAAAAGGATAATCTCAGGCAATGGTACGTGCGGTGACCATAATAAAACAGGGCATGTGATCAAGTGATGGCGGCAGGAGGCTCAGAAAGGGCTTCTGGGAGGAAGTAACATTGAAGCTAAAAGAGGAGAAGGAGCCAGCCGCTCTAAGGTCCGAGGAAGAACATCCTGGGCGGGAGGAACAGCAGCCGCAAAGGGCCTGAGACCCCGAAGGGGCAGCAAGCCAGCATGTCTGGAGGTGGTGAGCTTGAGGAAGAGTGGCAGCAGAGGAGAGGAGGCAGGGGCGAGGGCCCTATGTAGGTGGGGTCTGGGTGAGGCTCTGCCCTGTGTCACGGCGGCACCGGGTCCAGAACCCAGCCTCCCAGCTCCGAGCTCAGGTTCTGCTCACTTCTCCCCAGGAGCTCCCCCTGCTGTTCCTTCTATACCTTTTTCAGTGGCCCAGAAAAGATCCTATCCTGTCTGTTTCTGAGGGGCTGGGAGGGCAGTGGTGCTGAACTGTGGCTGCAGCCTTTGGGGGACTTTCACGTGGACGGAGGTGTGGTCGCTGGGTGGGGGCAGGGGACATCTTCCTGCATGCCAAGCTCACACCTGCCTTGTGCCTGCCATTCAAGCCCCAAGCCCCTTCCTCAGCACTGTCCATTCCTCTCCCGTCACCGTTCTTAGAACCTAATGGGTTGAGGTTGGAAGTTCAACTTTGGAAGAGAAAGTTCACCTGGAGAAAGGTGGTGGGTCTTTGGGAAACACTCTCTCTCTCCTCTGAGATCAACTGACTGACTGCCGTCTCCTTTTCTCTCTCGCTCTCCTTCCTCCCTCTGTCTGCCCCTCCCCGGTCCATCTGGCAGCTGGAGAAAGTAACATCTACCGGAAGCCCCCGATCTACAAACGGCATGGTACGGTGAGGGGTAGGGAGGGCCCAGCCAGGCAAGGGGAGGGGGCGGTGGATCACCTGTGCAGATGGCTGTACATGGGCCACCAGGAGGGACCCACGCAAGGCTGCACCTCTGTCTGCTTGTTGTTCAACCCCTGATCACTCAAGATGAATTAGGGGAGGAGCTTTGTGTCATTTGAAAACAGCAAGGAAGACTTCATGTCCCCTAAATTCCTTCCCACCTCCCTCCCAGCCTCCTTCCTGCTGCCTGGTGTCCTGAATTCTGTGGTCAGAGCGACCTTGTCATATTCACATACCCCTGGGAGAGTCGCACTCCAAGGCACTGATATGCACACTTTGAGGTCCTTAGAATCACATGGGATGCATCCAGATTCCTGGGCCCCACCCCAGACTTAAACTGAATCACAATTATTTATTTGTAACAGTTTCTCCAGGGGATTCCAAGGCCCAGTCCTGCTTGGAAACCACTACTTTAAGCTATTCTCAGTCACAGTGTCCTAAGAGGGAATGGAGGCTTGAGGGGAAGGCGGTAGGTTAAAAAAAAGGATCGGGGCCCCAATGCAGGTACCTTCATTCATTTATTTATTTAGTGTTTCTTAAAGAATAGTCTGTGGAAACCCTGCAGCTGAGAGCCTTATCAAAGGAGCAGATGCCCCAGCCACTCCACTGCCCCAGACTTCCCCAGTCAGAAACACCGAGGATATGGCCTGGGGATCTGCACCCTAACCAGCTTCACCCATGATTCCTACCTGCACTCCACATGAGAACCACCAGGTCATTCATCACTGGACCACCTGTTCCTTGCAAAAGCACTTATTAAGCTTCAGATGGCTAAACGCATTCCTTCCACTAAGGATGTGGCAACCTAGCTGTCACCCTGCACCACCCTCACATCAGCTAACAGAGGGGGGCACAGAACTGGAGGAGCACGGAGATGGGAGCAAACAGCCTGTACCAGGATCTGTACTCACTGAGCTGGTGGAGGGGACAGTACAGGTATAAACAGTAGCTCTGGGTACTTGATACCTTTGACAATTTAGACAAACTGGGGTCCAGGTGAGTCTGTGAGCACATGTGTGTCTGCGTATGGCTGTGGAGGACATGCCATGTGCCCTGAGTGGCCGCAGAAGGCACTAACCATGAAAAAGGTAGTTGGTCCAGAAAAGGCACTGGGTCTCAAATACCTCAAGGACTGCATGGGATTTTCCAGGTGTCCTCTCAGGGCAGTGCCAAAGCAGTTCAGGCTGGAGGTGGATTGCGTGGACAAGAAGACGTATGGACAGGCTGAACAACACTGGCTGGGGTGGGAGGACTACCCAGGACCCAAGCCAAAGAGGATTTGCGAGCTTTGGAAACAAGGGCTGTAGGGGAGGGTGCACAGGCTGGGGCTGTCTGAGGGCTGGTCCCGGGACCCTCAGCTGCTCTGGCTACACGGAGCATAGGTCTTACTCCTATAGCTTCTCTCCTGAGGAAGGGTCAGGGGCCTGCTCATTTCCCAGCCCTCTCTCTGCCCTAGTCAGCCTCTCACCGGTCTTTGGGCTGTGCTGAAGTCACTGCCCCAGAAGGTTTTGTGCCAGCGCTGGGTTTGATGGTCCATGTTGTGGGCTCTAGGTGAAAACTTGAAGCTCGCCGGCACCTGAGCCAGCAGACCAGTTCTGATACTCACAGATGAGGAAAGTGGGGTGGAGAGGGGCAGGATCTGCCCAGTGTCACGACTAAGTTGTAAGTGGCAGAGCTGGGACCAGAACCCGGTGCTGCTGACTCCCTGTCCAGTGCTCCTTCCTTCAGGCCATACAGTCTCCCCAAACAGGATTTGGCATTTCAGTCTAAGAAGGTTGACCTGACTCGATGTGTGGAATAGTCCTGCTCATCTAGTGATTCCCACAGAAGCGGCTCAAATCCGCAATAGGCAGGCTGGCTCCTAGAGGATGAGGAAGGCGAGGGCAAGGACTCCCTGGGGACCGACCTGATCTTCCTGGAGGGACCATGGTTTTACGTTCATTCAGGAGCAGACTGGGGCGTCCTAGCATGGGGTAGAAAGAGTCCCGAGCTGGGGTCTTGTCCAGTTCTGGTCTGACTTGCTGGGTGGTCTTGAGCTAGCCCTCTCCTTCTCTAGTTTCAGATCCCCAACTGTAAAATGAGGGGCTTGGCCTGTTTTTCCAGCACCGATTCTCCATGGTCCAGACCCATGGCCTCACTCCCCTGGGCTGGAAGCTGGCTGAGACGGGGGAATGAGTGCACAGGACGCTCTGCTTTATGAATCTCTCTCCTCGGGTCCTTTGTAGGCGATCTGTCAACAGCAACCAAGAGCAAAACAAGTGAAGACATCAGCCAGGCCTCCAAGTACAGTCCAGCCTACTCACCAGACCCCTACTATGCTGCAGAGTCTGATTACTGGACCTACCATGGGTCCCCCAAAGGTAACGCACCCCAAGGGGACCCGGGCCCTATCACCTGTGCTAGGGACACACAGGGCCAGGACAGTCACCCACTTCTTCACATGATCTTTCATTTACTTATTTAGCAAACATGTACTGAGGGCCAGCCACAGGCCTTAGGGAGGTCCTGGGAAGTCAGACAGAGCAGGTCCATGCCCCCGTGGAGGAGACACAGGTCACCGCTGGAAAGGGAAGCGATGCACAGGGGTAGGAGAGCTGACGGCAAGAGCACACTGTCCAGCCCCGACGATGACGATGTCTCAGGCACAGAGACTCGACTGCCGTGAGGTGGATGAGGGGGAGCTAAGCCCGCAAAGTGTAGGAAGGTGTCTGCAAAGACCCAAGATGGGCGGGCAGGTTCCGCTGTGGGGAAAGGAAAGGCTGCCAGCTTGACCTGAGCTCAGACAGGGAAGGACACTGGGGGGTGAGCGGCCAGACCCCACAGGGCCTTGTGGAGTGAGGCTGGGATCTTACTCTCTGTCCTGAACAGTAGGAAGGCACCATCCCATCCAGCCAGACCTCCCAAGCTGCTGCTTTCCAGGGTGGGAGGAATTTTCATCGAGTCCCTCTTTTATCCAACACACACCACTACTGCCTGAATGTTCATTCTGAGCAAAGTTTCACAGGAGCTCAGAGGTAACCCCTTCCTTACCCTCAAAAGTTCTCTATTTAGGAAAGGTGATAAAACACAAGCACAAATATAACCCAAAGTGGACAGTGGTCAGTGCCCATGAGAGAGAAATGTTTGGAGGCAGTGCGGGCAGGAGAGACCTCTTCCACAAGCATGAGGGGAAAGGCGGGATCTTAGATGAGACCTATTCTATCACCAAAAAAAAAAAAAAAAAAAAAAAAAAGATAACTAACTACAGGTAGCTTAAGCCAAAACATGGGTTTTCTAGGTCATGTGACTGAACATTTTGAGGCATGGCTGGATCTAGAGGTGGAAGAACGTCATCAGGACTTTCCTGTCCCCTGGAGCGGCTCTGCTCCCGCATGGCAGGAGGAGGGGGCCCAGGAGGTGCAGGCTTAATTCCTGCCTGTGGCAGAAAGAGGGCTTCTCTCTCCCATCAGCGGCAGGAAAAGCCCGACGCTGAGGCCTGTTAGCTCTGGGCAGCCAGCCTCACCTGCCCCTCGTGGCCAAAGAAGTGGGAGGGGTGCGGGACCTCTCCGCACAGAGGGCCCACAGTGGGGGGCAGCTCACCCAGACGCACTGTGCAGGGCCACTTGGCTGGAAAGCTGTGGAGCCAGAAGGAAACCCTTGCCTTTCCACGCTCTTCTGCCCCTTTGCACCCCCTCCCTGGGGTGGGCCGAGTGGGGAGCACACAGGGAGCTGACCCTGCCTCTCTGTTGCCAGTGCCCCGAGCCAGGAGGTTCTCATCTGGAGGGGAGGAAGATGATTTTGACCGCAGCATGCACAAGGTGAGCAGGCCACACACCAAAGGAGATGCTTATATACCCAGAAGAAATAAAACTGGTACTCAAACAAGTACATGTACATGCATATTAATAGCCAAAAATTGGAAGCAGCCCAAATACCCATCAACTCAAAAATGTATATCCATACAATAGAATATTATTCAGCCATAAAAGGACTGATGTACTGATACATGCCCCAATGAGGGTGAGCCTTGAAAACATCATGCTGAGTGAAAGCCGTCAGACACAAGAGCCCACATACTGCATGATTCCATTTTTATGAAATGTCCAGAATGTTAATCCATAGAGACGGAACCAGACTGGTGGTCACCAGGGACAAGGAAAATAGGGAAACGGGGAGTGGCTGCCTACTGGATGTAGGGCCTTCCTTTGTAGTGATGAAAATGTTTTGGAACTAGAAGTGATAGTTGTACTAAATGCCATGGAATTGTTCACTTTAAAATAGTTGAGTTTATGTTATTCAATAATAAAAAAATTTTAAGAAAACTAAAGGTGGTGCCAGCAACTCCAAAAAGAGTCCTGCAAAGACTGCCACTGGCCCAGCTGGAGCCACCTGCCCATCTTGAGGCCCTGTGGCCAGGGCGGCACGATCCTGTCATTGGCCAGGCCTCCTTTTTGTGCCCACCAGAGCCCCACCCAGACCACAGGACTACTGGTAAAAGAGGGGTGAAGTTCCACAGGAAAATGTGGGGCTGTAGGAGGCAGGGACACTGGGAAGGCAAAAATGACAGAGGCTTGTCCTGTCTCAGAGTCTGCTGCCTGACCCTTTCCCAGGAATGTCCTATTGATGTGTTCTTTGCTCCCCTCTGACTTCACCTCACTCTGCCCAAACCTCCAGCTCCAGAGTGGGATTGGCCGGCTGATTCTGAAGGAGGAGATGAAAGCCCGGTCCAGCTCATACGCAGATCCCTGGACCCCTCCCCGGAGCTCCACCAGCAGCCGGGAGGCCCTACACACTGGCTATGAGATGTCCCTCAATGGCTGTAAGCACTGCCCCTGGAGGCTAACTGAGGCTTTTGTCCCCACTCCATCCATGAATCTTCAGTACAGCCTCACCCCAGGTCTAGAATGCAGACTCGGTGAGGGGCTGTATGCATCACTAAATAAGACCATGCTCTGCCCTGAGCCGTTACTTCTACTTCTTTGGATCATCTGAAGCTGTGATTTCCAATCAGGTTCAAGGTAAAGAAAAATATTTTTACGTAGCCTAATGCCGCAAAGATATAAGGAACTGCCTCTTTTGGTAGTGAGCCTCCTATCACTGTAGGTATACAAGCAGAGGCTTGGTTCAAGCACTTGAACCTAAAAGTCTCATTGTAAACTTCTCCCAGACATACACATGCTCTGTCTGCTTCCTCTCTTTCTTAACCATCCTATTTCGAGTCAATACTTGATGGATAATAAAACGTAATATTTATTATAATCCTGTGCACCAGGTATTCACAGATACATCATCACTCTTGGTCCTCATGAAGACTGGCAATGTAGAGGAATTATTATCACTCACTTTGTAGATGAGAGACCTGAGCTTAAACTGCTTGCCCAAGGTCAGAAAGCCAGTCGGTGACAAAGCCAGGATCTTACCCAAGTCAAAGGGACTCCGAGGCCATAAGCTTTTCCCTCTTTGCCAAACTGCATCTGGGCTCTAGATGAAACTGAAGAAGATGGTGGTGGGGGTGGTAGTGATAAAGCCAATTTTATTGGGTGTTTTTTATGGGTCAGGCACTGTGCTAACACTTTATTGCATTATGTCATATATTCTTCACAGTAACCCTATAAAGGAGACACTATCCCTCTCCATTTTACAGATGAGAAAACTGAAGCATGATTAAATAACTCACAGAAGTTAGTTACCTGCTAATGGCAGAGCCAGGATAAACTGATGAGTCTGTTTCTCTGTTTGACCACTGAGGGGCGCTGTTGCCAACCGCTGGCTCTGGCTCTGTGCATTACACCCGTGCTGTTCAAAATACAACTCCATTCAATGGCATCCATGCAGTGAATATCACAGAGTCAGTGCTGGGCTAGGAGCTGGGCAAGGAATAGAGGGCGGGGTGGGAGTCCAACAGCTGGAAAATGGCCAGTGGGAAAAGAGATAGTGATGAGGTCTGTCCTCCCCACCAGCCAGCATGGCCTGTATTGGAGCCGTGTCTGTCTGTCCCCATGAACTGTCCACCGTGTCTTTCTGGCCCCATGAACACTGACTTTTCTCTCTTGCAGCCCCTCGGTCCCACTACCTGGCTGACAGCGGTATGTTCTACCTGCCCTACTTTCAGCCTCTGATGTCCTGTGAGGGTCAGAGCTAAGTCGGCCACAGGTTCCCTGTAGCTGTGATGACCATGCAACATGGATATCCCAGCAGAGTCCTGATCTCAAATAGTCCACCCTATTGTTTGTGAGATAGTAGGACTCAGTTTTTGATTCAGGAACCAGGGTTGCCATGCCCCACAGCTCCCAGAGAACAACAAAGAGCTCTCAGCTCTTCCACGCACATGGCAGCCTGCCTGTCTGGGTTCTGAGCTGGACTCCAGTTCCAGGGCCTTTGTCCAGAGCCACCCTGTGGTCAGGACACAGAGGTCCACAGGGGAGGGTAGATGTTGGTGGGGGGGCGGTAAGGTCAGAAGACGGTGAGTGTGTGCATAGGAAGGGCTTAGAATTCTTCCAGGGCGAGGCATCCCTGAGCCAGTCGGTTGCGTGTCTGGAGAACAGTGGGAGGAGCTGGTGTCCCACTCCTTCCCACAGGGCTGGGGATTAATATTGGCCATTTGCAGCCAGATGGCTTCATGGAGGAGGAACCCTGGCTTGGACTCCTGGTCATTTGTTTTTCTTTTTAGATCCACTCATCTCCAAATCTGCCTCCCTGCCTGCCTACAGAAGAAATGGGCTGCACAGGGTAAGAGAGGCTGTGCCTGGAACATGGTCCCCAAGATGTGAACAATTCCAGCATTAGTTCTTTTGGTTAAGTGATTACTTATGGGTGAAACTGGGACAAAGACCTTGGAGTTAGAGGTGTGTGTGTACTGAAGGAGCCCAAAGGCAGTGACCGTCTCCTCCCTGAGTGGAAGAGGCCCCAAGGGAGGGCCTGGGAACACCTAGTGTGCCTGATGGCAATTACTCCATGCAGGACACTTCATAAGCACTAACTAAGCATTTTATAAGTACTTAACTCCCTCATGCTTTGCTATTTGCAAGGTAGTTTCTAGTAATAACCCTGTTTTGTAGATGAAGAATTGGAGCACGGAGAGGTGTGGCTTCCTCAATCCCTCACACCTAGTAAGCGTAGAGCCAGGATCCGAGTCCAGGCCACCTGCCCCCAAGCCCTCCCTGACTGCCGTGCTCCACTCACCTGACATGGCTTGTAGCCTTCTGAGCTCTTTGAGGGCCTGCTTCAAGGAAGCAATGAATTGGTTTAAGAACTGAAAGAGAAAGAACAGTATGTCTTGTTAGCACAGAGAGAAGCTGTGCAGCTGGACAAGTGGCAGGGGAAAGCAGAGCCATTCAGACACATTTATTCACAGAGTGCCTGCTATGTGCTGGGCACTGCTCTCAGGGCTGGAGCTCCTGCAGTGGGCAGAGTCACTGATCCCATGGAGTTTGCATTCAAGCCGGCAAGACAGCTAACTAGTGAATATGTGCCGTGGTGTCAGGTAGTGGCAGGTGCTAGGATGGCAGACCAAGCAATGGGGCAGAGACGGAAGGAGGTCAGAGAGCAGTGGCCCTAAACAAAAGCCTGAATACACAGAGGAACTCACAGTGCAAAGACCAGCAGGAGCCACCAGATAGAGGGAAGTGCAGTGCCCCAGCTGCTGGTCAGGAGAACAGGGGGCTGGGACAGAGTGAGCATGGACACGAAGCCAGACAGGGATGTTACAGGGCCCCACAGGCTGGGTAAAGACTTCAGAGCATTTTCAGAGGTGTGCTGTGTGATCCGACTGCGATTTTTAATGAGATCCCTCCAGCTGCTGAATGGAATAGAGACCGCAGAGGGACAGAAGTGGAGACTGTAGGCCCGTTAGGAGACTATTTCAGTGTTGAGCACACAGAAGGGGTCAGAGCTTCACAGTCGAGCCATGGCTGGTGTTAACAAGCCCTCGCGTGCTGAGGAGCACACAGACCCTGCTCTCCATGTGCTCAGAGTTGAAACGTGTTCACGCAGCAGACATCTATTGAAAACCTGGTATGTGTGCCAGGTACTACTCCAGGAGCTTGGAATACGTCAGTGACCAAATAAGACAAAGACCCCTGCCCCTGGAAGCTTATATTTTTGTAGGGAGAAACAGAAAGCAAGTAGTAAACAGTAAAGAAGTTAAATTATATAGAATAGAGAAGGTAATAGTTGCTACAGAAAAAAAAAAGGAAAAGTTGAGCAGGATGAGGGGATTGGGAGTTTTTGGGGAGGTAGCGACTTGCAGTTTTAAATAGGCCTGCCAGGACAGATATCATAGAAAAAGTGGCATTTGAGCAATGAAAGCAAGCATGAGAAGTAATTCACCAATAAATGAACATTTGTTGAAAGCCTCGTCCAGGCACTAGGCATATGGCAGTGAGAGAAATCCCCCGACTTGAGACTGATGCTTGTGAGAGAGCGCCATTTCCCACCAGCCCCAGCCCCTTTCCTGGAGCTGGGTGAGCACCCCAGGGTGGCAGAGGTGTGCTTGCCTCAGGCCAGCCCCGGCTGTCTCTCCTGCAGACACCCAGCGCAGACCTCTTCCACTATGACAGCATAAACGCCGTCATGCTCGTGGGCTTCGGATGCATTGGTCAAAGCTGTGGGCTGAACTTTGTCAAAAGATCGCTGCAGACTCTGGCCCCACTCTGGGCTCTGTCCAAACCCCAAGTTTCCACTCCCTGTCCCTTCCCATTCCCTCCCTTTTCACCTCCTCCTCTCTCCTCCTCTCAGGCTGCTGGCCTTGGGGGATCTCCAGGCCATCTGTCCCAGCTGGGCCCCCAGAGCTACCACAGACTGCCATTGTCCCGCTGCAGCTGAGCTAGAGCCACCTGCTAGCCCCGGGGGCAGGGGAGCCAAATGCACATTGTTCCCAGCAAAAATTCCACCGGATTTTTGCTCTCTGCCAGGGATGCTCTCCCACATGCCCCCACCAGCTCCCATGAGCAGGCTCAGGCAGGAGGAAGGGCCCACATCAGAACCCTGGAGGGAGCCCCCCAGAACAGGGAGGATCTCTCCCATGTGCTTCACGATCTCAAATTCTTCTCATTTCTATTCTAAATATCTCAAGAGTCATTTTCCCCCAAGATCCATGTCTCTGTATCAGCCCAACTCTTATCTCCAGCCATCCATTGTGCTCCTACCAGCCTTGACTTGGGGTCAGTTCAGCAAGGACAGGGTCTCTAAGGCAGAGGCCAGTGTAGTGATGCAAAGCAAAGACCGATGGGTTTCCATTGTGTGTTTGTCTGTTTTTTCTCCACAGAGTACAAGGTAAAGGAGATACACCCTGGGAGTCTCTGGGACCCTGGGAGCTGCAGGGAACCGGCAGGAAGATGACAGCACTATCCATTCAGGGAAGGGGACACCAATAAATAACTCAGTGATCTTCTTAAGACCAGCATTTCCGCTCTGTCGTGGCCCACATTCTCTGCATCCTGCCCTACATCTCTTGCCCACTGAAATCAAGACAGTTGCCCAGGGACCTCAGAGACTTTCTGGAGGCTTGCCTTCCCCAGATATTAGATATTTACGTTGAGGAGGCCCTGTGCCACATTTTCCAAATGCTACCAAGCTTATCCCTTGCAGCATTAGGGGATGCTGAGGCTTGTCTTTTGGGAGCAGGTGCCTTGAGGCTGCCAGGCAAACCCAAGTTGGGCAGACCCAGCCTTTCCTCCAGATTTTCATCTCTGGCCCTCTCTGGGTAGATGGGGATGGGGGAGCCCAGGCACAAAATGTGGCTGAAGAGACAAGCCCACCACCCTAAGCCAACCTGGAACTGCCCCACGCCCACACTTCCTCCTTAGATCTACCCTTATGAACTGCTGCTGGTGACCACAAGAGGAAGAAGCCGTCTGCCCAAGGATGTGGACCGGACGCGGTTAGAGGCGAGTATGGAAAACCAGACAGGAGCCTCTGTGTTGGAAGGGATTCCAGAAGTTGCCGGGCCTAACCCAGCTTGGGAGGAGCAGGCAGAATGAATGGCTTTAAGGTCACACAGCTTACTGAACAGGCAGAGACCCCAGCCTGGCCTCCTCAGCCCATGACTGCTCCAGCGGTTCCGGGCTGCCTTCTCGCTTCAGTTAGCCTCTGTGGTGCGCAGCTGCAGTGTGTCCCCGCCAGGCGCCGATGCTTCTGCAGATGTGAGAGGAGAGCTAGATTTTGTCCCTGCCATCAAGGGGCCTGCAGTCTGGTGGACAAACCGAAATGCAGCTCTGACTTTATGCACGATTGTACAGAAAACCAGTGCTTGTGATGGGGAGGACAGGGGAGTCAGCACTGCATGGAAGGGGCCTCGGGAAGGAAGTCCTGAGCCAGCTCCCTAGGTTCCAGCTCCATACGTTTATAACAAGGGCCTCCTTTCCTGCCCTCCCTTGGCAGGCAGCTTAGGGGCAACCTCTCCAGGCCTTAGTTTTCTCCTCTTTAAAGTGGGGTGATTGTCCTGCTTCCTGCAAGCTGCCAAGTGAAGTAAATGAGGCGATGCACACAGAGCCCTTGGTGCAGACTCTGGCAGCACACTGAGCAGTAAGTATTCAGTGCATGTTCTGTTGCTGTTACTCAGAGAAGACCCGTTAAGGCTGCACTGGTGCCGGGAAGAGGAAGGATTCAGATGGCCTTTGACTGTGGGTGGGTTCAGATGGATGGAGAGAGGGAGGTGAGCCTCATGAGCAGGGGGAATGGCATAAACAAAGGCACAGAGGCAGGCCTGAGTGTGGCATTGGCTGTCCAGCAGTTCAGTCCACTTGGCCTGGAGTTCCAATCCCTGTCGCGTTCTGCCCTTACTACCCCAGCACCACTCCCTGCCACTCCCTCTCACAGAATGCCCTTTCCATCTCGCCAGCCTCTTCACCCCTCAGGGCTCCATTCTAGTGATGTCTGTGTCCTGACATACTCCAAGCCTTCCCCAGGTTGTGTTGCTCGCTGTCCCCTTCAGCCTTTCCCAGTCCTGCATCCAGAGCAGAGACCAAGCAGCTCTCTCTCCCCTTTGGTTCAGATCATCAGGCCGTGTATCCCTCTGCCTGTCATCTACCCCGGGGCCTGGACTAGGGCAGGTGTCAGGAAATATTTTCAGAATTGAATGCAGTCTCCTAAGAAAGGAGACTCTACACTCCTTGGGATGAGCCCATCAGCTACTCCTGACCTGACTGCTGAAGCGTCTTCCCTGAGTGGAGTGTGGGGGCAGGAGGGGGTGCAGATGTGCCGGGAAGCTCTGCCAGTCCCACCTCTGGCATACTGTAAAGCAATGATTCTCCATACATTTATAAAAGGGCCTCCTTTACTGTCTAGCAGCAGGTGTCTGCTGGTGCTGAAGGGGACAGCTCCTACTGCAGTTCCATGTAGCCAGCACTGGGGATGGAAGTGTCAGGGAACCTAGTTCATCATGGAGGACCGATTGCCCCTCTACATTGTCCGGAACAACGAGAAGCTAAGACCAGTGAGCTCAACCTTCCCTAAGCATTAGAATCACCCAGCGAGTTTCTTAAAAATACCAATATAGGGTCCCACCCTAGCCCAATAAAATTGCAACCTGGAGAGGAGTTCAGGCATCAGTATTTTTCAGATGCTTCCAAGGGTACTTAATGTGTAGCCTGAACTGAAGCCGTTAGGCTAGAGACACTTCCCTAGCTCCCTGCACCAGTTTAAGGAGGGCCTGAAGAAGGAAAGCCCTGAGCCTGTCCTCAAGGAACTCAGAGTTTAGATAGTCATCTAGTAAGTATTGAAAGCCTATTATATACCAGGTGCTTGTAGTGTATCAGTGAATGAAATAGGGACCCCTGCCCTCTTGGAGCTGGCGTTCTCATGTAAGGAGATAGACACTAAATGACGCCAGTGATAAATGACCTAACACACTGAAAGGTGACAGGGCTAAAGGGAGTAGTAGCCGAGAGCAGCGGGAGAGTGGTTGGGGGTTGGAGGAGGGGCGAGCTGCAGTTTTAATAGGGTGGTCAGCGTAGACCTCACTGAAAATGTGATACCAAAGACTTGAAGTAGGTGAGGCATGCCTAGATAAGGAGGAAGAGCATCCCGGGCAGGGGGCACAGCCACTGCAAGTTCCTCATGCCGGCGTGAATGTGCTGTGCCTGAGGACAGCAGGAGATGAAGTCAGGAAATGGGCACCAGATTGTGTTATGTGACAGACACGTGGAGAGATCATTGCAACAGCAAGAGTGACCGGTTGAGTGCTTCCTACATAGCGGCCACTGTGCCAAGCACATGCCCTGTATCATTTCATTCACCCTCACAGTATCCAGGGGCAGGCACTAGGATGCTCCCACTTTCTAGAAGAGGAAATGGAGGCTTAGTGAGGCAATGTACCAAGGTCATACACCCATATTTGCCTGGCCTTAAAGCCTGTGCACTTAACCTTTAAACTTTAAAGTCTGTGGTGAATGTCAAATGGACAGGGCTGGCACTGGGCGCTCACAGGGGAAAGGAAGCTCCAGCTGGCCCTTAATAGAGGGAGAGGAGACAAGCCTGTCTCTTTCAATGTGTCCTACTGCAGACACATTTTCCTTGAGCTGAGTGTGCCATGCCTTCACATGGAGCCTCACGAAAAAGAGTTTTGTACACAACAAAGAAACCAGCTAGAGAGTCAAGAGTTACTGTCCTCCAATAACAAAAGAACAAATTAAGTGAAACTGTAGTTCCCGTCAGTCTTTGCTGAGGGTGGAGCAGAGAGGACTCCGCATATCCAAACTATTCTTCAGCACTCACTTGAGTGAAAGTAAAGCAAATATGGACAAATAAATAACAGAAATGGGAGAACAGGGCACCCTCGAGGCTGGCAGGGACTAAGGCAACTAACAGCCAAATACTCTTTGAATCCTTATTCCAACAACCCAACTGTAAAAAGTCATTTTTGAGACAGTTAGGGGAATTTCACTTTGAATAGGTATTAAGTAATTCTGAGGAATTATTGTCCATTTTTCTTACCTTTGCTCATGCTCTTGTGGTTGCATAAGAAAGTAGCCACATGTTTTGAGCTGCATATTGCATTATGTAGGAATGAATCGACATGGTGTCCAGGGTGTGCTTGGAAATATGTCAGCAAAGGAAATAGGTGACCCAATGTGGCGAACTGATAATCATTGCATCTGGGTAATGGCCACGGGTGTGCATTGTGCTATTTTTTCTCTTTTGTGTAGTTTTGACATTTTTCATAGTAGGAAGATTATGAATTTTTAATGGTTGACCAAGGGGGTAGTGAGAGTGCACTGTGCTTGCAGTCAGAAGGCCTGGACTTTCTGTTACTCATGCACCACCTTCCATCCTCCCTCCCTCCCTCCCTCCTGGTCAAGTAAGTCATTAGCAGTCTGTGACTGGGTTCTCTAATCTTTCAAGTAGATAAAAACAATTCTGGTTCTCAGGGTAGTTGGAAGGATTAAGTGAGAAAAGTGAGGGTAAACATATAGTTATGAACTACTGAACATGACATAAATGCAGTGCAATTGAACACTGTTAAGTATTGAAATACCAACTCAAAGTAACCAGCAGCCATTGATGTCTATCAAGATATCAAAGTTACCTTTGCTTGAGGTTTTGGAAATGTGACCAAAATACTAGTTCACAGTGAAATAAGTCAGAGCATTGGCTGATTATTGTGTGGCTATATACATAATTCTCATCACATCTCCGTCAGTACTCAGTCAGCTAATGTAATCGCTACCAATACGTCATCTCAGTGATTCCAGTAAACTTTCAGGTAGAAAATATGCCATATATTTCTCTCCTTAAACATAATTTTTATTTTATTTTGAAAATTTTCAAGAATTGTGCAACTCCATAAAAGTTGCAAAAATAGTAAAATGAATATCCATTTACTCTTCACGTAAATGTACTACATTTTAAGTGCCATGTATTTCTAACTCTAAAAGCTTTTGACAATGTGTCGATTTTCAAGGCTGCTTGAAAGGGACAGAGGGAGGATGGGCAGAAGGGGGGATGGGCAGAAGGGGGGACGGGCAGAAGGAAGGACGGGCAGAAGGAAGGACGGGCAGAAGGGGGGGGAACCTGACACTGAGTGCGGAACAGTTTTATCACATGGCCTGTTTGTTTTCATGTAAGAAAGAGATGAAAGGACATTTCAGAAATGCGAGCAGTAATTTTTTTCTTTGACCTGAGCAATAAGTAACCCTGCAGATAATTTGTAGAAATATTAAGAGGAAATACACCCCAAAATCTTGGCAATGCCTCCTTTTTCTCCAAAAGTAGAGAGGAACAGCAATGACCCATACACACTCCTGGACACAGAATGCATGGAGCAGGGATGCCGAAAGGTGAGGTCCACCAGGATGCATCTCCAGGCACTTAGATAAAGCAGAAGTCCCACCTGAGCCCCGGGAGGGGGAGGCCTCTCCAGCCAGACCAGCTGCAGACACCTCTCCGGGGAAACTTACATTCAGACGTTCATCCATTCAACAGATAATCCATCCATGGGTCAGACACAGAGCACCCAAGGGAAATACACAGGGCTGCTCCTGTCTCCACCTGGCCCCACCTACCCCTCACATCCTTAAGCTGTTCCTCTGTCTCCTCCCACCTTTCAGCGCCACCTGTCCCAGGAGGAGTTCTACCAAGTCTTCGGCATGACCATCTCTGAGTTTGACCGGCTGGCCCTCTGGAAGAGGAATGAACTGAAGAAGCAAGCCCGGCTGTTCTAGGCAGAGGCTTTATAAATATATATCCATTTATATAAAGATATATGTAAATCTCTATATGAAGCTTGGTATAATCCTCTCTGTGTAATGGGACACACTGCCCACCATGAGACTTGCTGTTCTGCACGGTCAGGCCAGCCTCATCGTCAAGATGTTTTTATGCTCCTTTCCTTCTCTTTTCTAAGTGCTGTGGGGTTTGGGAAGGGATTTGAGGGGACTCCCATCCTTTTGCTGGGGATCCTTTTTATACTTAAACATCTGTCCTAACTTGGTCCCCCAGGGTCCAACTCTCTTTGCTAAAGGAGGTGCCTGAAGACGTTTCTCTCCTCTCTGCTTCCTGGCATTTCCCCCAGTCTCTGGGGCACATGCTGACCATGCAGTTTCACATCTTACTGGCCCCAGAGGCCCCCCCACAGGAGGATCACAGTGAGCACTGAACACCTCTGAGAGCCCAAGAAAAATTTTCTCACCATCCCCAGTTAGGAGTTCAGTGCTTCTGATTGGTGACACCGTCAGCAGTGTGGGCCTTGGGTCTGTTCCTGACAGCAGCAAACAGAAGGGGACAGAGCCTTGGCCTCTCCTCAGCTCTCAGGCCTCCTCCTTCTGCCCTTGATCCTAACCTCTCCTTTAACCAGGCCTCATGGTGGGAAAAGAAAAGGCACTTCCCTTCCCCCACCACACCTCCAAATGGCCTCTTTGCCTGGCCCCGCCTGGAGGACCAGGGAAGGAGTGGGAGCTGGGAGCAGGAGACAGCAGCACACCTGTCAGAGTCAGAGCTGCAGGATGTCTTGGGACCCTCCCTTTCCCTCACTGCTCCCAGCACCTCCTGACCCTTCCCCCTTCAAAGGAGAGGCCCATTCAGCCTGTACTCTTCAGCCTTACTACAATCTATGTGCCTGACTACTCAACACGCCACAGGGCTAACGCTCCTACCACAGTTCCAACTGAACAACGAGATAGACAACCTCTAACACCCCTCTAAACATAGGCCACATCCCAAAGAAAGGTTCTTGGGCCATGCCTGCTGGTCCCAGGGCTGGCTGGGATAAACAACCAGACCCCCCAGCAATCAATTCCCACTGCAAAGTTGGCCACATTTCATGGGGGAAACTTTTGGGAGAATGACTGCTTATAAAATTCCAAAATACAGCATTGACCAGCACACTCATGATCACCCTAGATTTCCCTAAAGGCTACCTTTCCCGCCTCCTTGCCTTCTGGAACAGGGGTAAAAGCTTAACCTTCTCTCCACCCATCCCCCATCCCTCAACTATGAGTTGGTGATGTTTGGTGGGGCCTGTTCCTTCTTGGAGGTGCCTTTCATCAGCCCATTTTGAAGTCATGGAGGAAGGATGAAGTGGAGATGATCATTATGACTCTCAGAAGGCTGGTGATGTGCATGGCAGATGTAGAACTGACTTCAATTCAACAAACCCTCACTAAGTACCTGCTGTTGCTGAGCACCTTCTGGATAGTGAGCACTGAATGGAGGGGGGCCTGATGGGAGTACTGGGTGATCAACATGGGGCCTGGTCTGGGGGGCAGGCCTACTAACAATGGGTATGGTAAGGCATGTATTCAAACATGGTGGAGGTAAAGCAGAAAATGATAGGAGACAGCATGAGAAAGTATGACTATTGAAAGGCATAAATATAGTTGGTACAGACCAAGGAAAGCTCTGAAAGAGACTGCACTTCAGCAAAGCTCAGGAAGGATCTTTGTAAACTGGGAGAAGACTGTAACTTGAAAGGGTGAGAGGATGAGAGGCTAGAAGGGAGGTCTAATATACTCTTATTTAAAATGCCAACCGCTCTGCAACTTCTCTCTTTGGCCAATGTCTTTCAGCTGTCCTGACCCTTTATAAATGTACCTGGCCAGATGTAATCACTGAAACTGCCCCATTATCACTGGTTGAGAACTTGGCAAGATCAAAGGGTTTTGTTGTTGTTGGATATTTTTGTTTCCCATAAAAGCACATAATTTCAACCCAGACCTGTGTCCTCCTGTTGTTTCTAGTGTGAGTGGAAACATGTTACATGGGAAGAGGCTGAACCATGCACATTTTTCAGAATAAGAGACTGGAGAGCAGCTCCACTGACCTCAGTTTCTCCTACTGTAAAATAAGTTTGATGAGGTAAGCTTTACAGATTGTTTCCTGTGGAACCTGGGGTCCTGCAAGATAGTAGAGGGTGTTCCAGCAGTAAATAAGGTTCTGTGATAAAAAATTAATAACAATAGATTATTGGATTAAACATGGTAGAATAGGAAGGCAAGACAGAAACCTCCTCTCAAAAACACATAAAAGAGGAAAATACAGAAAATGCAACTAGACCTGAAAATGACTTGAAGGCTGCAGAACAGACCCCCTACACCTGAGGAAGAAGAGAGGACCACACAGAAAAGGATGAGGTAGCAAAGCCAAGATTGAGAGGAACCCAAGCTCTGTGCCCACACCAGCCTACAGACAGGAGAAAGAGAAACAGAATGGGAAGGGCTGGGAGCCCAGGGGCACTGCACACCTGGCCCTGGAAGTCTGCTCTGGGTGCATGACCCCACATCACATTGGGTTCTGGTGATTATTGGGGCTGGACACCAGGGGCAGACAGAACTCTCTGGGAGGCTGAGACTCCAGCCAGTGTGGAGGGCAAGCAGGCTCTGCCAGTCCTGAGACCCAAAGCAGAGGTGGCAGTTTGAAAGACTTGCTGGCAGTGGGACAGGTACCAGAAGGGATGAGGGTTGGATGGAGCCCTCTTCAGGAGAAAGGGCAGGTGGAGGATGCCTCCCTAGCCCTTCCTCAACCCAACAAATTGAGGTCTCTGGAGCTCCAGCTTCTCCATCCGCCTTGCCGGCAATGCAGCCCTGAGGCACCTCCTTGTGTGCACTACAGGGAACCAGCCCACTTAGCCCAACGGCAGCACCAGACTTAGCTGCCTGGCAGGCAGAGGGAGACTCTTCAAACCAGGGAGAGTCTTACTTGACTCCATTTCAGCCCACCCAGAGAGGTGCCTGCAGGAACTAGCCCCAAGAGCTCCTTCCCCGCTGTGGGTGTCCAAACATGATGCTATGTATCTGGCTGGGGCACATTGGTCCACCTATCTATTAACCCTGCAGCCCCTCTGTTGCTGAAGGCCAGGCAGGGGGTGACCCCACCACAGTGAACTCAACAGAGATTCCTAAGTTAATCACAAAGGCAGCAGCTCAAGCAAACTTCCCAACCAGTCTTAGACCATTACAGAAGCCAGATAGAAAGGCACCCCACCCATGGCATGCCAACAACTGAGTACCCCAAGAAATAGAACCAGGCACCTGAGAGTAAAGAATCTTGAGCTTCTGGGCACCATAGCACAACTTCTTTATAAAGCTATTATTCTTTAGTCCAGAAAGCGTAGCAGAGACATCTAATACAAAGGAAGAAACACAGAATCCCTGACAAAATGAGCAGGCAGAGGAATTTGATCCAAAAAATCCACAAGACAGAACCCCAGAAAGAGGTTCTAAATGAAACAGAGATCATCAATCTTGTTGATAAAGATTTCAAAATTAAAGTCATAAACATGCTCACAGATTTACAGAAAAGTATTCAAGATCTCAGGGAGGACTTCAACAATGAGATTTAAAAAACCTGAAAAAGAGCCACTCAGAGCTGAGAAATATGGTATCTGAAATTAAACATACAATGGAGGGATTTAAAAGTAGATTAGATCATGTAGAGGAGATGGTAAATGACATAGAAATTAGAGAAAAGGAAAGCAAAAGCTGAGGAACAGAGAGAAAAAAGGATCTCTAGGAATGAAAGAATGATAAGAGAGCTATGTGACCAATCCAAATGAAACAATATTCACATAATAGGGGCACCAGAATGAGAAGAGAAAGACAAAGGGATAGAAAGTCTCTTTTAGAAAATAATTTTTGAAAACTTTCCCAGTCTGGGGAAGGAAATAGACACACTCATGTCATGGAAGCACAGAGATCACCTAACAAAAGGAACCCCAGCAAGACAACACCAAGACACATAATAATTAAAATGGCAAAGATCAAGAACAGGAGAATGTGTTCAAAGCACCCAGAGAGAGAAAAAAGATTACTTATAAAGGAAATCCCATCAGTCTATCAGCAGACTTCTCAACAGAAACTCTACAGGCCAGAAGGGAGTGGCATGACATATTTAATGTGCTGAAACAGAAGGACCTCCAACCAAGAATCCTCTACCTGGAGAGATTATCATTTAAATTTGAAGCAGGGATTAAACAATTTCCAGATAAACAAAAGTTGAAGGAATTTGCCACCACTTAGCCAGTCTTACACAATATGTTAAAGAAATTGCTGTAAATGAAAATAACCCTAAAGCTAAATAGCTTTCACCTGAAAATAAACCCAAAGTAAAGGTAGTAAAATGACTCATTGCCAAACAAATACAAAATTAAAACAAACAAAAGAAGCAAAATCAACTATACACAAAATCCATCAAGGGATACACAAAAAAACAGAGATTGTGATGTCTAATATGAAAAATGTGGAGAAGGAAGAAGAAAGGAAAAAAATTACCTTTAGATTGTGTTTGAAATGGAGTAATCAGCAATCTAAGACTATTATATAGTAGAGAAGCTACCCTTGAACCTTTGTTAATCACAAAACTATGATAAATATACACAGAAATAAATAAATTTTAAAAAGAGAGAGAAGTCCAATTACAACACTAAAGAAAACTATCAATAACAAGAGAAGAATATAAGAGAGGAAAAAAAGGAACAGAGAGGATATATTAAAAGACAGCAGAAAACATTCAATAAAATGGCAATAAGTACATATCTATCAATAATCACCTTAAATAGAAATGGACTAAATGCACCAATTAAAGGACATAGAATGGCAGAATGGATAAGGAAACAAGACTCATCCATATGCTGCCTACAAGAGACTCATTTCAGACCTAAAGACATACACAGACTAAAAGTGAAGAGATGGAAAAAGATATTACATGCAAATAATAGGGATAAAAAAGTACTTATGAGATAGGGAGGCAGCAGGGAGTAACTTCTGCCCAGTTAGAATACAGTGTTGGCCCTGGAAAATGACAAAGTCTTACTGAGGCTTCAGGAATAAACAGAAAGAACAGGGTACTTGGGATTTAAACAATGTAACAATGTACCCCCCACAGGGACCCAGTGATATGGAACAACTTACTGACCACAGACACGTAGGTCCATTAGTTTACAATAGAAGTAGGTCAAAACATAACTAGCATTCTGGCTGGACCTATAGGAAACTCCCACTGCAACAAGCATAAAACCCTAGATACCGAGTCTTGCCCCCCTCCCTGCACCTATGGGGAGTTCTCTTATCTTGAATAAAACTTTCTTTGTAAATCCCCTACCTTGCTTGTTCACAAAGTTCAGTCTTCAACTCTGTGAACAAGAACCTTAGCATCACTTATATCAGACAAAATCGATTTCAAACAAAGAAGGTAACATTACATAATGATAATTATGGCAGTCCAACAAGAGGATATAACCATTATAAATATCTATGCACCCAACATAGGAGCACCTAAATATGTAAAACAAATACTAACAGAATTAAAGGAGGAAGTAGATTGCAACACATTCATTTTAGGAAACTTTAACACATCAACAGACAGATCAAACGGACAGAAAATAAATAAGGAAACAGAGGCATTGAACAATGCAGTAGATCAAATGGACTTCACAGATATCTGTAGAACACTCCACCCAAAAGCAGCAGGATACACAGTTTTCTCCCATGTACATGGAACACTCTCCAGAATAGATCACATACTAAGCCACAAAAAGGGTCTCAATAATCAGAAAGATTGAAATTGTATCAAGCAACTTCTCAGACCACAATGGTATGAAACTAGAAATAAATTACACAAAGAAAACAAAGATTTACAAACACATGGAGGCTAAACAGTATGCTTTTACATAATCAATAGATCAATGAACAAATCAAAACAGAAATCAAGCAATACATGGAGACAAATGAAAAAATAAAAAAACAAAAAAACCAGAACAACTCAGAATCTGTGGGATGTGGCAAAGGCAGTTCTAAGAGGAAAGTACACAGCACTATAGGCTTACCTTAAGAAACAAGAACAATTCCAAATAAACAGTCTAAAATCAAAATTAAAGAAACTAGAAAAAGAAAACAAATGAAACCCAGAGTCAGTAGAAGGAAGGACATAATAAAGAACAGAGAAGAAATAAATAAAATAGAGAAGAATAAAACAATAGGAAGATATCAATGAAATCAGGAGCTGGTTCTTTGAGAAAATAAACAATAAATAAACCCCTAGCCAGATTTATCAAGAAAAGAATGTACACACATAAACAGAATCAGAAATGAAGAAGGAATAATCACAGTGGATAGCACAGGACACAAATTTTTAGAGAATATTATCAAAGATTATATGTCAATAAATTGGATGACTTAGAAGAAATGGACAACTTCCTAGAAAAATACAACCTTCCAAGACTGACCCCTGAAGAAACAAAAATCTGAATAGACCAGTTACCATTGACAAAATTGAACTGGTAATCAAAAAACTCCCCCAAAACAAAATTCCAAGTCCATGCAGCTTCATAGCTGAATTCAAGAACATTTAAAGAAGAACTAGTTCCCATCCTTAAATCATCCCAAAAAGTAGAAGAGGAGTGAATACTTCTGAAGTAATTCTATAAGGTCAGTATCACTCTAATACCAAAACCAAAGACACCACAAAAAAAGAAAATTACAAACCAATATCCCTGATGAACATAGATGCAAAAATACCCCACAAAATATTAGCAAATTGAATACAAGAATACATGAGAAAGGTCATCCATCATGAAAAAGTGGAATTTATTCCAGGGATGCAAGGATGGTAAAATATTTGTAAATCTATCAGTATCATACACATAAAAAAAAAGAAGGATTAAAATCACATGATCACTTCAATAGATGCTGAAAAAGCATTTGACAAAATTAAACATC